GGGGTTTTTTTTCCCCCTTTTTTTTTTCCTTCCAGTTTTTGGTTTCCAAGCCGGCTCCGCCAGCGCGCTGAGTACAGGCTCTCTTCCATTTACTTGATTCGCAGGTTTGTTTATCTATTTTTTTTTCCCCTTTTTTTTTTTTGCTGTCCGCCTCAGTCCACCCTGTATTTCATCTACTTGTAGCAACTTGCTGCCTTTTTTTTTTTTTTTTTTAAGCATTATTGGTATTTTTTTTTACTGACGCTTCCCGTGCGTTTTGCGATTGCAAGTCGTCCTTGCAGTCCGGTTTTTAACTGCATTTTGTCTGCAGATCTTCCCTTTGTTTGCACATATCCTCTTCTTATTTTTAATTTTTTTTTTCCTTGTTGTTGTTCGTTGTTAAAGTCACTCTTTTTTGGGGGGGCGCTGTATTTAAGCACTTAAAATGCACTGCTATCTTCTGAGCGTGTTTCTCACCGTGGATCTGGCCACCGTGGCTTTCAGCCTGTCTACCTGCAGCACCCTCGACATGGATCAGTTTATGCGCAAGAGGATCGAGGCGATCCGGGGGCAGATCTTGAGCAAACTGAAGCTCACCAGCCCCCCGGATGAGTACCCTGAGCCCGAGGAGGTGCCCCCGGAGGTCATCTCCATCTACAACAGCACCAGGGACCTGCTGCAAGAGAAAGCCAACCACAGAGCCGCCACTTGTGAAAGGGAGAGGAGCGACGAGGAGTATTATGCGAAAGAAGTTTACAAAATAGACATGCAGCCTTTTTACCCCGAAAGTAAGTCCTCTATCTTTGTGTATGTATATGTAATTTCGCCCCCCAAGGCTTGGTGGTGCCCAGCACCTTCAAATACGAGCCCCATGCTTCATAATCTGCCTTCTTTGCTCTTATCCTCAGCATCTCTTGGGTGGTGGCAGCTTCTAGGGTTTCGTGTAGATGGTGGGGTATATGTAGGCAGGTTGGGGGGTCAGATGTCCCCCCAGAGTCGAGAGGTTTCTGATCCCCTTTGAAGTCACCCAGGAATCCCTAAAGGTGCTTCTGCTTTCCACCATGTACCTGAGCAAAGCTCCCCCCTTCCTTCCCCGACCAGCTCTCCTATCTCCCCAGCACTGGGTTTAGCTTCCCCAGAGCCCTGTGTGCAGCCTCTAAAAAGAGCCAATATCTTTCCACCGCTGTTGTTTCCCTTGGAGTGTCTGGATGGGGCAAGTTTCCATCTCCCCATAACTGAAAAGAAATGGACGTCTTTTAAAAAAAAAAAAAAAAAAAGCCAACGGCTCCTTTTCTGTCTGTGCCCCTCCAGAATGTTGTCCCACAGACCGCTAGATGGGTGTTCTCTAGAGAGGACATGGACATGCTGCCTCCTCTTCCCACTTTAACTATCCTGTTTCAGTTCATGGGTGCTTTCATTTCAGGTACAGAAAAAGTTTTCCCTTCTGGGTAGCCTCGATTCTTGGAACCTGTCTCAGCCCGTCTGCTTTTTGCTGTTTTTAACGACCTTCTGGTGATCCATGCCACGTTTTGAAAAAAAAAAAAAAAAAAAAGGCAAAAACAACCCCAAAAACGGCCCCAAAAATCAACCAACCAACCAAACCAAACTGGTACAAATGCTCTCTGCTGACCAAATCCACTTAGAATGATTAATAATCATAATGATGATATGCCTTTGTGTTTTGGTAGTGAAGTTTTAAGTGTATGGCAAAAAAAAAAAAAGAAAAAGAACCGCACTCCCTTAAAAGAATCTAGATCATCATTATGCTGAGGAAAGTGAAATACCAGAGGCAGAACATAACTTCACAGTCCACATACCCAAAACGTAGTCCCTACTCTTTTCATTTAGCTCGATTTTTTTCTCTCTTCCCTCCCCTGCCACCTGATGCCCTATGTGCTTGCTGTCTGTTTTTGAAAAACATACCTCGTGCTTAAATAGATAATACATCCATCTTGGTAACTTTATCCTAGAGGTTCTAATTGCATTTTCCCCCTTGTTTATTTTTAGTTTAGCAAGTTGTAGCTTTGGGGCTTGCTCCATCTTGCATGTGATAGTCTTAGGATGCCAGCCAAGGTATCTGAACCCCATGCTCTGTGCAGCTGCTTCCCTTTCTTCCTTTATTCTTAAATGACAGCATCAGGTACAGGACATCCTGGCAGTCAGAGCTATTTTATTATTATAATTATGGCACCATCCATAATAGCCATGATAAATACACCCCACGCTTGTTACCCCCAGGGAAGGAATATTTAAAAAAAAAAAAAAGTATATTTTGAGCCAAGTGGGTATGAGCAGAGAGGTTCAGTATAATTCATAGCTGTAGTGAGAACATAGAAATCATGCCTGTTTTCCACGTTGGTATACTGTAGTATTCTGCTGGTGGTTTTGGTGGAAGTCAGCACTTTGAGAACTACTAGGTCATGCCCTGAGCAGAGGAATGAGCACCTCTGGGCAAAGGTTAGGAAGACCGGTCGCAGTGCCTTGGCTTGTGGAGTTCAGCCTGTAATAGAGAGTCTGTGAGAATTCTGTAATGCATCCATCCTGGGCACATCTGTCCCTTTTCCTCGCACGAGCGAACTACACAGCACCAACCGACAGTCCAAAATGCAGCTGCCTGCTTTCCAGAAAATTAAAATATCTGTGGTGTGTGACTTGGATGGTGTCGACAAAAGAGAATCTATTTTTAAAACGTTGTCAGAGGCCAGATTTGTACTGAAGTATCAATAGAGGTTTTGGAAGAGCAAAGGAGATTGCAGGTATCTACCAACAGAGAGCATCAGACGTTTGGGATCGGAGGGCCAGTCAGCAGCAGATCCAGTACTACTGTGCAAGGGCTGTCGCTAACATCAGAGTAAGTAGGTTAACTGTTTTTCCACTGCTCTCTAGTTATGCTGGATGGAACGAACCTTTCCAAAAAAGACAGAAAGGAAGAAATCGCTCCACCATATTTTAAAGGAAGAAATTGAAAGTGCAGCTCCCGCAGCTGCGGGCACTTTCTCCTAGACGGCTGGGAGGGAATTTTTTTAACTCTACGGTTTCTGCTGCATCAGAGGGCGGCAGGAGGGAGAAGGGGATCAGTGTGAACGCACTGGGGGTCAAAAGCTGCTGGAAGGAAGGCATGGGAAAGATCAGTGGTTCAGTTTTTACCGCAAGTTGTTAGCGTTCAGTAACTGACTACAACCCAAGTATTACAAATATGCTCTAATTATACTCATAGTCAGCAGTATATCACTACAGATCTCTGATAGGTCGTTGTGGGGCATTTTGTAAAGTTCAGACTAAATATTTTTAGCAATGAGGAGATTTAAAAGGAAAACTATAAGAGATATTGTATATACCCTAAGGCATATTTTGTCTTAAATATTATCCTTGGCCAACTGTACTGTATAAATACAGTAAATATGAATAGAACTGGCAAGATGCCAATCTCCTGGGATGAATTTTAGTCAAGAAAGTATTTATGGGATATAAATAATACTGTGTCAACATTTAAAGAAGGGATCTGATTAGTTTTGAATTTATTCATATTAATCTTTTCACATGCTGTTAGTTTAAGGCTCAAAGTAAAGTTATGCTAAGGTTTACTGCTAGTTTGCACTGAGGAAGTAAGGGGGCATCTGGCATCTGGCTTGACAGTCCACTTGAGGTTAAAGATACATCAAGTCAGGACATCTGTGGAAGTACAGCGAGTCAGGAACTGACGGACCCAAAAACAACAGATGTGCAAAGTAGTGGCAGGAAAAAAAAAAAAAAGGCTACAAAGAGGTCTGGAAAAACCAAAAAGTTTTTGTCTGTCAAGCATGCCTGCCTGTGCTGTGCTCATGATAGCATGGATTAGATACTGAAAGTTTGGATTTCTCCAAAGTCCAATTGGCAGTCAGAAATCGAGTTGTTTTAAGTGGGAGGTGGGCTACCGAGGCCAAGCACAACATCAGAGAGAGTCCTTGTGAATTCTGTGCCTGGGCAAAGTTACCTGAGTGGATGCTTATTACTGATTTCTGTGAAAGTGGGTCATGAGAAGTTTATTATTTACTAGTTCTTCATTGATTATCTAGGGCCTGATACTTCAACTATTTAGTTATTTGAGCTGGGTGATAATTGCTGTTGCACTGATAATAAACAGAAATTTAGTGCCAGCAAAGTTAAGGATTATGAATTGTAATACTCATATATAACTGGGATACTTGGGAAAAACAGGCAACACGTGTATGTGTGGGCAGGGACCCAATTCTGCCATCTTCATTCATGGCAGTTTATCACAGTCAGTGAGCTGGTCAGTACTGATGGCTTAAAGGCTAATGCAGGTAAATTTTTTAGGTTTTCTGTGTTATTGGAGATAGGTCTGTAAGCACTCAACAGCCTGAGAAATCATGTTATTCTGGATTTGGGCCTGTTTTTGCATGGATTTTAAACTACTTGAATATGAAGGAGGCTGCACTGGGTGGTAGGATTAGTCTTCTCAGGAGATCTGTACCGTGAATATTGCTTTACATAGACTGTCGTTCTGCTGGATATTCACCTTATGAAAGACAACATTATAAACTGTTGGGGCACAATGGCATGCTTCTACTTTATCAACAAGGGCTCAATTTACCAGCAATTATACATATGTGAGCTCCTTGTCTTCATGGGAGCAGAATTACTCATGCAGGGGTGGCCATGCTCTGCACCTAACTACGTCATTACTACTACAAGAAGAGCTACGGCTGCACGTCTTGTGTGTGTTTGCATTTAACAGAACACAGAACTTAATCTTTCAGGGTTGCCTACGTTGTTAATGATACAGGAACAGTCTCAGAAGAAACAACCTTATGTTAAAACCTATCTGTGCTAGCCCTGTGGTCATGCTCTGGAGCACCTCTTGTAGGAGGTGTTTGCCAGGCTTACTGTTTGGTTTGCAGAGAGGACCTGAAAAAGTGCAAAGGTTTTCCTGAAGAGAGATATGGGAGGAACAGTTCCTTGCCCCTTGTTCATGACTGGTACTTACCTGCAGTCTTCTTAGGTGGTGATGGAAAAAAAAAAAAAAAAAAAGGGAAATTGCAAATGGCTTTGGAAAGGGTCAGGGTTGTTTCATTGGACAATAGTCCTCTACATGCAAAGAGGGATAACAACCTAACGTGCTCTGGTGCACTAACCAAGAGTAGCTGAAATCAAAGAGAGTGCTCTTCTTCCACTCCCACTCTCATGAAGCAAATGGTGGGGTGCACCATGTGTGTTCCCTGCCTGCCTTCTGAATCACCAGTGACTTCTTGTAGCCATGGTACGTGGTTATGCTTTTCTTCCAGAGGGTAAAGCCTACAGAAAAGCAAAACACCTGTGACCCCACTCTTTAACACTTCAAGGTCATGAGACCTGCAAAACAGAAACGCAGGGTTATATTCCTGGGTTCTTTCCATAACCCTTCTTGAGTTTATCTCTGGTGTTTGTTTTAAAAAGCCACTTTCACTGCGACTTGGTGAGTGGGAAGTTTAGATGTGCATCCCTGCCCAGCCCCCAGCATGTTAGCAGTGTGAATGTTCTACAGTCCCAGAGACCTAACTGGAAATGTGCCCTTGTCTTAGCTGATGGCTGGAGATGTGTGAGCAGTGCCCAGAGCTCGTGCCACTCTTGCTGGCTCCACTTCATTGCAGGACCGGGTGTGAGTAGGTGTTTATGTCAAGAAAGCAGAGCATCATCTTCATTAGCTGCTGGTTTTAGCCTTGCTCATCCTTGGTGCACTGCATGAGAACAGTAGAGTTCATCAGGATGGCTGTGTTACTTTGAGATTCCTACTTCCAGTGCTTTGCTGTCACTTTGAGATTCCTGCCTGTGTTAGAGCTGAGCAAAAAGATGAAGCTGTCATCCTTGGTGAGCTTCTTCAGCAGAGTTCTGAAACATGCATGGAGCTTCACACGCATGAATGGACTCATTAACATTAAGGCTCTGTGTATGCCTAATTAGCTTCCTGAATGGGGGCCCGGCTTGCGGCGCGTTTGCAGGGATGAACAAAGCCAGACAGCTCAAATCCCTCTTGCCGTGTTGAAATCTGTCATTCAGGCATTGGAGCCCAGTGAGAAGGAAATGCTTTACAGGTTTTTTAGAGGAAAGAAGAGGCTCTTCAGGACTCCTGTGGTCTGAACGAAAGCTGACCCTGCTGGCTTTTGCCTTTGCAGTGTCTGTGCTAGGCTGCTCCCGTGTTACAGATAAAGAGAGGAACCCCAGGGTATGGTGACAAAATGAGTCATGAGTGAAGACACAGAAGGGTTTCCGTTCCTGGTGTGAGGCCACATGCTGCATGTTTTCGGGCAGGCGGTTTTTAGCTTGAAGATGATACGCTCCCCAGGTATTATTTAATGTAACACTGCATCACCAGTGCTTCTGCTGATTTGTATAGGCTAAGGCATTTGGTTTGGTCGTTTGTTTAGAGAAAGTTTGCATCCTGCCTTCAGCCACAGGCTGTTGCTTGTTTCTCTTTCAATTTGTGTTGTGGATTAGTAGGTGCCTAGCTCCAGCATCACTGCTGGTTGGCTTTCTGTGCTAGTCTATCTGAAGCAGCTATGTTTCTTAAAACAGCTCCCCCATGTTTGTCCTCACTCTTCTTGCTGCTGTTAAGTGATTGCAGATGGGTACCCAACTGTATAAGACATACAGCTGAAAGGTGTAGAGGAGAAACTCAAATATTTGCCTGTGACAAGAGGATGAGGAGGTGAAAAAATCTCACTGTGAAGGGTTTTTATCTCTTTCCAGTGTGACTAGTTGAAGTTACGAGTGACTCATGAGCCTGTGTAGCACTGTGGTTCTCTTAGCTTGAATGGCACAGGATCGGCCCTGGAGAACAGTGGTGCTAGAGCTGGCTCTGTTGGACCTGTCCAGTAAGCAGATTTTTGTGTGGTTTTGGTGCTAAGCAAGTTGGTCCAGAGTAGAGCTCCTTTGGGAATTTGCTTCTTTGGGTAGTGTAGAGTTCTCTAAACCATCCAGGTTTTCTAGACTTTGTGCACGGCACTTGGTGCATGCTGCTTGGAGAGCTCCTGGCTCCTTCTGGAGGAAGTCAGGTGGGGTGAGTTTAGGCAGCAGCACAGAGAGACTGCTCGTTCACTGTGGCAAGTCAGGCTCCACTAAAATACATCTCATGTTGCTGTTTGGATCCTCTGGCAGCTGCATCAGGTTTCCAGGAGATGCTAGACCTCACAGGAATCCCTGCAACAAATTTATGGCTTAGAGTGTGGAGAGGATCTTTAGAACATCTCTCCCTCATTCCTGTTTTAGTTTGAACAGCAAACGAGGGTTCCTTTTCATTTCATGTGGGATGCTCATTGACGTGTTCAGGATCTTCACTGTAGAGCTGATGTTTTTCACACTGAAACTCACTTAGGGCAGGAGCCTCTTTTTGATGTTATATGAGACCAAGCACAGTGTGATGCTGGCTTCAGGTTATTATAAACTGTATAAAATATAAATAATAAGTTGACCTCATAGCTGACCCTGCTTTGAGCTGGTGACTGGACTAGATATCCCTTCCAGCATGAATTAACCTGTGATGCTTGTAATACCACATTTTAATACAAGAAAAACAGTGCATTGTGTTTCAACTTCCGTAGGGTGGTTTTGATTGAAGTATCAAATTTCTAAAGATGTACTGTTTTCGGTCAGTCTTGGATTTGTCCCTCTTCTGTAGCTTTCTTGCACCAGAACATTAGTGTTCTTCTCTCCCTCTGCACCCATTTTTCTTGTACTTTTCTTGTGTGAATATTGCTTTTTGAATAAGCATGGCAGGTTGCATGAGGATAGACTGCTGTATTACACTTCAGCAAAAGCTGTGGCTTCATTTTAGGTGAACTGAGGGAGGAAAAATGGAAATGTTGTGATACTGACCTTTCACTTTGCTGGTTTGGCTCCTTCCCACCATATCTAAACCAGAATGCACTGACAACACATCTGCCTTGACAGACGAGTTCACAAATAAGTGCTCATTCATGACTTGAAGCTGCTTTAAGACTGCTTATGGTTTGCTTAATCTGACAGTTGTGCATTTATGCAGAGACTTTGAAGACAAGACTTTGCAGAATGACCATAAGTTCAGCCTGACTTTGTGAAAAACTAAGAGGGAGGTCTTCTGTGAAAGAAGATCCTGTACTTAAGTATATGTGTGCATGTGTGCACACACGCGCGTGCATACATTTAAGAGCATTAAAACATCTGTTGTTGCCAAAGCCCGAATTGGAATGTTCTGGGGGAGATAATTTAATTTTTAGCTTCTGGATTCATTTCAGTGATGATAATTTCAACACTTCCTGGGGAGAGTCTATCAGTGGTTATGTGCATCAAACGCTGCAGTAAATCTGTCATTCTTTCCATTTTAGTTTTTCAGGCTTACTGCTTCGTTATTTTGCCCTGTTTGGCTGGTGTTAGTCTCCAATGTTTTCCCTGGCTTCATCTCTTCTAAACCCCTGCCTTGAATTTTAAAAGGAAAGCTAAGCCTCTTGGAGTCCTTTCTCTTGCTTGTTTTTGTTTACGTATAGCATTTGCAATTCAGCAGCTAGCTCAGCTGAAGAAGTGACGGTAACTTATCTTTACTGTAGTGATGATTGAAAGATAGGGGTCAGAACATGTTGGTTTTCATTCCTTGGGGTGGAAAAATAGCCCAACCCACAAAAAGCTGCAACCCTGTACCTGGACTTTGTGCTCAGGAGGCTGAAAAACTGGTAGATCTTAGCCGCATTGGCTGTTCTGAAGTGGTCAGAGAGTACCTAGCCATCCCATACTTGATGAAGGCTTCTGTGCAATAATACTTACTAATCCTGAGTCCACAATTGTGTTTAGAGATTATCTCCAGTATAGAACATCAAATAGAGGATAGTCCTTGTTTATTTACATGGGTGTTGTCCCATGTGTATAAAATGACTTTTGGGGGGCTTTGGGCAAACAATCATAAAGGTCTTCTCTAGGACTGTCAAGATATACAACAGGAAGAAGAACACCTGCAGAACTTTCTGTCTTCCTAGTGATGTACAAAAACAATGCCGACAGATTTGCCATCTTCAGATGCAGTAGGGCGTTGAAATAATGGTTGAAGTGGCTGGCAAACCCAGCGTGGTTGGGGTCTAACGTTCACCAGAGGCTGTGGCAGGCTGCTGCTCCTTGTCCCACCTCTGTTTGCTCCCGGGGGTGGTGCATATTAGGAAAGGTGAGAGACATCTCCTCTCCCCTATGAATTTGACGATGGAGGGGCAGCTCTGCCCTTTGCATTGCAGTTCCTGGCCTTTGTGCTTTGAGAGTTTGATGGAGGAATTGTCCACTTGACAGGATGATACCAAAACAGAGCACTTAATGCATACCTAGTAAGCAAAATCTGTGGGTAGGCATGGTGGGGTCCACTGACACATGCAGCTTGGGCAGTTCATTTCTTCATCCAGATGCCTACAGGGGCTATAGGGTATGTTTGCCCTTGAGGAAGGGTAAGTGATACATTGTATTCTCCAACATGATAAGGTATTTTAAACTGCCTGAAGATGTGTTGGCTCCATGCATATCCTTGGTGTTCTTCTCACCCAGTCGCTGAGAGATGCAGCCCAGTTTTCTTGGCTGCTGCAGCTGGCTCTGGGCCTCCCTGGCAGAGCAAAGGCTGTGTATGTCTTGTGCCAATCACTGCTCTGTGCTCGAAAGTTTTCGCCCTGCACGCTTTGGAAGTGGACACATTTCAACATTGAGGTACGCTGAAAGATGTCTCTACATTTCATTTGCTGTGCTTGTTGCGCGTTTACCCAGCGTATAATGACAGGCTATTGCAGCAGATGTACATACATCTTCAAGTTTGTGAGTGAAGAACAAGTTCCAGCTTTCTTGAAAATAAATCTGCTGTTCTGATCTGGTGGTATGATAGGAACTGAGAGGCTCCCTGCCAGGATATACACTTTGGAAAGCAAGGGAGCTAAGCAAGCAGCTTGGTCTCAGTTAGGATGGACTCATAACAGATTGTTGGGGGTCTGAGCTTTCTCTCCGTTTTTGAACCTGGATTCTTCTATCCTAGCTTGCATTTCTCCCTGATGCTAGGAGCCATGGATTTGGAAATTTCACATTCCCCTTGATAATCAGGGAACAAAAAGAGCCCCAAAAGGATCTAGAAAAAGAGATCTTTATATAAAGGTGGCCAGAGGCTGAGTTACAGCAATATCGTATGTCTGAAGGAACTTGCCTCTTTCCAAGTTGGAGTCCTATTATTTACCCTGTTTATTGGAAGTGTATTTGTTGAGGTAGACTCTGGAAAGGAATCTGCCTCATGCACACTTGCCACAAGGCCAGCTATGTGTGTGATAGAGTCAAATCTTTCCATTTTTCTGCCTTTTGAGAGTATGTTCCCCAGATTAAGGGCCCTGGTCCAAAGCCTGCTGAAAACTCTGGAAGTCTTTCCATTGCCTGCAGAAGTTTTTGGATCAGGTATGAAGTGTCATTCCATTCCTTTGTTTCAGGGAATGGCCACTTCTTCAAGATATATTGGGACGTATTACTTAAATGCTGTTCTTTCCTTTTTCTTGAGTTGCCACTGGAGATGTTCGTCTGTGTAAAGCTGTGCAAAAAAAAAAAAAATAAAAAAAAAACCCAAACCAAAACAAACCTGTTTTAAAAATAAACACCTTAGTAGCTTATTGATAGAAGCATTTGATGGCAGATGTCATTTGGGAACAGCATATGGCAGCAATATGGCAAGTATGGAGGCATGAGTTCATGTCCTGTGCTTCTTAGGTATTCCACACCTCCCCCTGTCTAAAATAAATGGCCATTTGACAGCAGAGGTCTTGGCAAATAAACATACCATAATATACCTCTGTCATCCTCTGTACAGCACAGTTTTTTCTAGAAGCTCATCACTCCACATCTAGAGGCTTCTTATAAACATGTGCAAAATTGGACCTCAGCACCCAGAGCAGGGAAGAATCTAAAGGCTATGAATAAGAATGTGGTAAATCCCTGTGCAGTGGACTGTAAAGAGAGGTCAGGGGTAAGCCAACAAGGTGCTTTTATGCTATCAATAAAATCTTAAAAGTCAGTTCTGAATAGAGCTGGAGCTGGGACAACAACTTCTGAAAGTTAGTTTGCTGCATGATATATGCTGAGTTTAAAAGCTTGCAATCCAAGTGGTTTGGGAACAGGACGAAGGTGCATGTGGTTTTACATAAAGCCTTTCTGACATGGTGTGGCTCAAAGTGGCTCGTGAAATAATGAGTTAACTTTTGAGGTATATTTTTTGCATGGATGAAAAGTTGGAGCAATTTAATTTTGAGTCAGTAAAGCCACTCCAGATTTTTCCTTGTGGTGTTGAAACTGGAGTCTCTGCAGTGATTGTTTAGGCAAGCAGAACACTCATTGTGGCCAGGGTTTTGAGTAGCACCTAAAGGAGTGGTTCCTTTGCAGCCTTTGAGAATCCCAGCCTTCTATTCAGATGAAGCCTGAGTCAGGTAAAGCTGCTTTGCTGATTAGAAATGTCCTGAATGCTCTTTTGTGGTATGTTTGTGCTACTGCTATATACTTTTTAAAACCTGAGAGAACTCAACAAGCAACACAGGTTGTTGGGTTTTTGCTTGTCTTTCAAAAAGGAAAAAAAAATAGTTTATATTTTACCTGTGCAGTACTTCCGATGTCCTTTTGGGATGATATTGGATCCTAAGCCATTTGATGTAGGCTGTGAAACCAAAGGGCTTGATTCTTGTTTAATCTAAGGCAACATTACCATATCACAGAGTATAAAGTGTGTTAATGTACACAAGAAAACCAGACCTGCAAGCAGGTTTCTGGTTGAACATGGAACTGAAGGAGATACTCATCTCAATAGGAATGAGATGTTCTTGTCAGGGTAGAATGTTCCAGGTCTGTTCACACTCATAGCTAATGCCTAATTGATATCATCCTGTACTTCAAAAAGGATGAAACTAACATTGCTCTAGGAGGCTTTGAGTTAGGGCAGAATGGACACTTACAGATTAAAAAAACTGGAAGCCATAATGATGATATTCTGGTCTCTCTATCTGCATTTTGCAGGCCATTGAGTTTTTAATTAATTCCTTTTTGAAAGGGAGTTCACACCATACTCGGTGAATTATTCCCGTGATTACATTTACTAGAAACAAGCATCTTTGTGTTTTAAGTTTTTTAGCTTCAAGTTCTACTATTTGAATCTGGTTTAAACCTGTACTTAGTATTTTGAAGACCTGTTACAAATTCTGTGGGCATTGTGTAGGCATCCACAGGAGAAGGAAGTTTTGCAGACAGGAACTGATATGGCTGAGAGCAAGCTGGCGTGGCTGCTGGAAGACCCTGCAGTGAGGCAGCCAGGAGCTCAGCATGGGCTGCTGTACCTGACTTTCCATGTGTTTCAGATCCATAGACTGGGATGGATCCACAGGTCTTTTAAGCTCATTGAGATACTTCCTAGCCTTTTCAGTTACTCTCACGGTTTCCCTCTGAAGCTCCTGTGTTTGATTCATACACTGCTGATGTTGTGGACAACAGTATTGGACACAGTATTTCAACAGTGGCTGTGCCACTACTAAGTACATGTATATTGCAGATTGTGCTCTGGTTCAGTATTACACAGTTTGTGCAGCTCTACAAGGAGAAGCAGAATTTCATAGTTTAATAATTACCCACAAGGGCCTTCGCCCTTCCACAAGTCCATTTTAGATGTGCTGACTCTCAGGATGGAGTCCTCTGTTCTGTAAGCGTGGTCTAGTTTCTCTGTCCTAGAGTTGTATCTTCGTATTGATTCTACTGATATTTGCATCTTGATTATTCAAGATTCAAGTCACTGTATTTGTGATGCATCTTCATTTTCTGTCACATCCATATAATTATTTCATTTGTGGTTGGTTAGTGATGGCTTAGTTTCCTCCCAGGTGATGGATAAAAATATTAGATGGTATTAGGGAAATGAGCCTTATGGGACCTTGCTAGGAACTTGTCTCTCAATAATGGTTTGCTCTCTACCATTGTATTTTGAGTCTCATAAAAACTCAAGGCTTTGATTGATGTACTGCCAGCTGCCATGTTGGTATCCTTGTGTTCATGTTTCCTAATGAAATCTTCATGTAGCACCAGCTTAAATGTCTTGCAGCTACTCAAGTACATTATATTAAAAGAGTTGTCTTACCAACAGGACCGGTGGTCTCACTCACTAGGACCCTGGACCAGTAGGATCTGGTTTTCTTGAGCTGCTGTTGGTTATACTCCCTTAGTTCCCCTGGGCTGATTCTCATTGCTACACTTTGCATACTTTTTCTGGGATCAATATAAGGCTGACTATATATGTGAGATAACATAGGCTGCCCTGTTTAGCATTGTAAATTAGCAAATACATTCTGCCTCAAATCCTTCAGATGTTTTCCAGTGTTTGGAATTTATTGAATGCCAGTTTGAGTAATTTAGATAGTTGCTTGGACAGCTCTTCAAAAAGTCTTGATGCTAGTTATCTGGTGTTGTTTGTTTTACAGTGTCTGATTGTAGTAGCTGTTGTTTTAAGACTTTCAGAGTTGCTACTGGAATTAAAAAAAAACGCCATATTTTCTCATTGCCTGGCCTTTTTATCTACAAAAGTATAGTTCATATTTTATTTCCTATTTATTATTTCAACAGATTTTATCTCATAATGAATGAATATCACTGTTAAGTTCCCTTAGTACTTAAGTAAATCTCATCTTTAAGCTTCTTGGCCGTGAAACTAATGGTCCAGCTTGTTTTTTTTTCATCTGTTATCTGCAGTTCTTATTTTCTGATGTATAGGAGTTCTCGGCAGCTATTCCTTTTACTTTTGTTTGTAAAATACGGTTGCATTTTTAAAATTTTATCTTCTTATGGTTCCATTCAGCTTCTGTCATAGTTTTCTTACCTGAGTGGTCTTTTCCGTTGGTTGGGGAAGGATGTCCTTTCCTTTAACTAAGTCTTTCCAGTATGCTATGTGTCTGTCCACTATCCTTTCCAGTTTTCTCTGTGAACACTTCTGTCCAATCAGTTCAGCTCGTTGTTGTGTTCATCTTTGTATGACTGTCTCCTTTGTAACACTAAACCTGAATGTATGCAGTTCTTTCACACTTCTTGATTTTGTGCAGAATGTTAGGTGGTCACTTCTGTCTAAGCTGTGAATCTTTCCTGTCATAGCTGAGTGACCAGAGCACCTTAGTTCCATCTTCAAAGTAAACTGGTACCCACATCTGGATCTTTGAAAGTGCCTAATTGTTGAAGTGCCAGTGGCCTAAAGTCTGTAGAAACGGGCTGATGAGAGAGTTACCACATCTCAGAAGGAAGCAGTTATAAAATCATGGCCTAATTGAGTTGGCTGCCCTTGTGCTGGTGGGAGCAGTGCCACCCAGGACTCAATAACTACAGAGGAGGAAGTAGGTGGTGATGGTTTATCTAGTGCTTGCACAGTTGGCATCTCTTTCCTCAGAGAAGCAAAGGGCCAGATACTCCAGCTGTCAGGTTAGTTCTGTTGCCAGACGCCATAATTCTGGAAGGCAAATAATATTTTTGGGTTTCTTTTCCACTTTCAATAGCACAAGACATGGGACAACTCCAAGTCACTGACTCAGTTCGTGACTCCGTGTTGCAAAGTAGTTAGTGGAGGTGTTCTTCCTGCCCCACCCAGAGGTCTGAGCCCTTATCCTATAAAGAATTTTCACTTGTGTTAAAAAAGCATAGAGGACAAAATGGATCATAACTCATCCTAGTAATTGGGACTTAGTAAAAAGACCTTGGAATTAGGAATATCTGTACTTAAGTAGTAAGAGTTGATACTTTCATTGAGTCCATCCTCTGAACACTGAACTGGAACTAACTTTAGAAAGCATCTTCAGTGAGCAATCTATTTTTGACAAATTACTGTAGAAAAAAAGAGCAGATGTTCAGCATGCATCTTCAGTTTGATAGCCATAATTTGATACCATGACTTGGGGCTAGTTGTACACGGAGCTCCCAGGATGAGGTTCTTCAAGCTTTGTGGTACTGTACTGTTTGTTCTGCAACTCCTGATCCTTCCATATCCACCTCCATAGTAGTCTCTGGGCTCACTGAGCAGCTGCATTTCCCATGCAGTCCATTAAGAGTTTTAGGGATCTTCCAAAATGAAATGCCTGGGAGCTTCCCAGGCCAGCTAGGGTGAATAGTAGAAGGCAGAGTTGAAAGCTGAGCACCTCCACATGGGCAGGCTTTCCCTGCATGCAGGCAGCTAGTGGCACTACTACTGGCTGGAGAGTTTTTCCTAAGAGAGCTTCACAATCTCCATGCTTTTCTGCTCCCGATTTACACTGGACCAGGGTGTAAATCATTTTAATTGTAATTACTTTTACAAAGTGGGAAGGATTACACAATTTTTAATGTGGTTAAAAACTTTTACTTCCCTTTGCTTCTAGCATTCATCTATTACTTACTGTCTTTATCTTAATCATTTAAAGATGTGTGTTGCCTGTGCTTTGAGCCTGTGAATCTTGACTGCTCTGCAGAGTGAAAAAATGCAGTGTTTTGCCTTTCCTTCTCCGTTAGACTTTTACGCCTTGTATGATGCCTTTTTCTCCTTTTTTTTTTTTCTCCCCAGAGTGAAAGGGTTGGACAATCCAACCTGCTTTTCTTGAAAATGAGTTGCTTTCATTTCCTCCTCCAGCCAGAGAATAGTTTGGAAGGGCTGTTCTCTGGAGCCCTGGCTGAGCAGGAGGAGGCGGCGAGCTGCGCTGCTTGCCAGGGGAACAGGAGCGCTTCCTGGCAGAGGTGGGCCGAGAGGAACGGAGCCTGTGCCGTGGGACTCGCTTTCATCTCCTCCACTCTCTGCAAGGCAGCCCTGAAATTTCCTGACCGCTTTTAAATCTTCCAGTTAGCATAGCTGAGCAGTGAGGCCCACTTGGTTAAAAAAAAAAAAGGAAAAAGGGAGGAGAGAGTAACTTGCTCTTACAAATAGCAATAGATTAAAAATACTAATCTGTGCTGCGCAGTCCAGCACGAGTTCCTCTGTGTACGATTTTGAATACCCAGAAGGGGAAAATCCGTGCTCCCACATGCCTGGCCACCATCACTGTCACCTTTTTGAATCCCCTTTTTGTATAATCCAGTTGATTCTTCTGTGAAGAGTAGGATCTAGATTGATGGTTTATCCCGTTCTGTTACACTTAGGGTTGAATGCACACTTTAATGTTCTGATTCCTGAGTTTTATGTTTTTCTTCTTTTTTCAAAGTTCTGCATATATTTGTATTTGTGGGTTTGGTTTTGTAGCCCTGAGCATTTCAGAGTACCTGAGCCCTGTTGCTGAGGGGAAGTGTTGGTCAGGAGAGTGCTTCTTCAGCGATGCATTCTAGCTTTGAGGACCTGCAGACAAGCTGCTGGCAGCAGCACCGCAAATGCTGTACTTTGTGGAGTATGCTTTGAAATGAAATTTTGCAGGTTTCCTAGTAAAACCTAATTAAGCTTCATTGCTTGGTCTCCATTGTTGGGGTCTTTATCAGATATACACGAATGAGAAGACGTCTCTTCTAAGCCTCCAAGAAGTTCGGAGCATCTGTCTTCTTCCATGGTTTCAATCACAGACATGTTTCAGAAGTCCCAGTGTGAAAATGACTCCCTATGAGAAAGCTTTCTGTTACTTGCATGTAAGTCTGACATGCTTCAATCTGTCACTGTTCTCTTGTCTTCTTCCTAAGGCATTTCAAAGTTACCTAGGGATGCCATGGATTCTCGTGCCACCCTCGTAAGTGATGTATTCCTCTGTTACCTGTACTGGTTCAGCTTTTAGCATGAACCTTGCGCGAGGTCAGCAAATGGTGAGGGGCTCCTGGCTTGACCTAAGGTCACAACTGGCAGAACCAATGGTGACAAAAAGTAACTCATCTGAGGAGCTGATTGCTACAATTGCATCAACAGTGGTGCAAAACCTCAAAGCAGTAGGAAGCCTCAGTGTCATAATGGAACTACTCATCCTCCCATGCAGTTTTCCAAAGTGGAAGAAACAGTTTTGTTTGACATACAGAAGAGGCTTTGTTTTATCTGCTTTTGTGAAAGTCTGGTTATAGTGGGGTGAGCTTTACAGACTTCTAGTTTGGATTGTTGCAATTTATGCTTCTCAGGTTGGATGTGAAAATTGCCGTTGGCTGTCTTGGCTAAAAGTGGCCAATACCACAAACAGCAAATACATCACGTGCTGTGCAGATGGCATTTGTTCCTGCAGAGTCTGGTAAGAATTCGTACTTCTGACTGGAAGCTGGAAAGCCTGTGAGAGCCTGGGATCCTTCTACCTTAGAGATTTTGTTAACCTCAAGTAAATACCAAAATATCCATTTTACTTTTAGCTCTGTGAAGCAGTGATACAGATTTTAGATACTGACAGCTACACAGGTAGGCATGAGCATGGTTTAAGTGCTTTGGCAGTGATTCTGTGTTGTTTATAGTGTCTTCATCACTTTTGACAAGGAGCTTTAAACTTTTATTTATGTCATGAAAGAAAGAAAATAAAAAAAAAAAAAATCTGTGAAAGCAGTCTTGTTCTTCTGTGCCATAAAAATTGGGGAAAAAAAAAGATGTTCACTTTGGATCGCACTTTTTTTTTTTTGTCCCTTCATCTTATTGAGAGGTGCTAAGTAAAACATCCATGGGTAGGAACAGTCTAGCTGGGGAGGCTGAAGCTGCCCGCATTTAGTGAGTCAGGGCTCTCTCCAGCTGCTGTAACAGAGATTCTTTTCTTTGCTCCCATTCTAGTCTTGCTAGTGCATCAGCCAACTTTCACCCCATATTGCAGCTGCTGACAGAGAGGTTTTCTGATGTGTGGAGCCAAGGGCCAACCACAATTTGTCCATGTATTTATAGGGATCATTTCACTCCAGTAGAAGTGCGGCCAAATATTTCTTGATAGAAACATGCTACATCCATCTAACAACACTATCCAAAAAGTGGAGAATGCCGTAATATTTGTCTTACGGTAGTTGCTCAAGCCCCAGTGAGAGATCAGGACCCTGTTGCATGAGGCGCTGTTGATCTCACTGTGCTATTCCCAGCCCTACAGACCTTCCTGTCTAAACTGACAAGTCAGATAATGATGCTCTGTGGTATAATCAGTTACAATGCTAAAGGCATGTGTGCTCGAAACCAGATCTTACTGTGATCTTAAATATTTCTTCATGTGATAGTGCTCATCATCTGTCTCACGGCTGTGCTCGTCCGGCATGCTTATCTAGGAACTGATCGTACATGAGAAATGGTGAAACTCCATGTGTCAGTCAGCGCTGCTGGTGTTTTTTTTTCCTTTTGGGCTTTTATTTTTTTGCAGGGCCAGACGTTAATCTTGGCTTTACAGCCCCAATAACTATTATTTCTCAGCAACGGTATGGTGAGTCTGAAAAGAGAAATTAGAGTCAAGAAGATATTTTCCCAGAAGATTACAGCAGTTATAGTGGAGGTCAAACTTTTGGCTTCAGTTATTGGACTGTTTTGCTTTAAACTTGAAATGCACATCACTGAAAGCAGAAAGTTCAAAGATTAGCATGAAATAATGCCAAAGACTAAGAAAAAAAAAAAGCATATCATAGTAATTTTGCTAAAACTTTGCCATCACTCTTCACACCAAACGTTACTTTTCAAGTAATACAGAAGCAATCCCAAGGTAATGATTCACCAGTGGAAGAAAGTACTGTATAACACAGCATCTTCATTTGGGGAGTTCAAATCAGGGGATGGAGTATCAGTTGTAATTATTTACTGTGTTGTTTTAAGCATGAACTTTCTATTAGACCGCAGAGAATTTGCTCATTATACTTGCATTATGATACGTTTCAAATATCCTGGTATAAATTCCTTTAACACAAGGCTTATCTTTTTAACTTAAGGAGCTGCTGTGGTTTCTTAGTTGCAGGATAGTTGCAGCAAATTTCCAAGTGCATTACCCAGGAACTGGAATGCTTTAAAGAAATGTTAAGTTTTTAAGTTAATCTGTCTGTGTGTCTGTAATTAATAGCATGTAGAAATCATTCCTACAGGAAGGGTTTTAGAAGTCCATCTCTTACTGTGGATGACAGCTCCATGCTCCCAGCTTTTATTACCTTGCTGCATACTGGACACAGCTCTGGCTGGCTGGAGGGCAGATCTTTTGGTATTAGTAGAATGTCATGTATTGATCTGCAACCTGTGGGACCTGTCCTAATGACATAAGTTTTGCAATTATTTTGTCCAAATATATCTGAGGCAGATACGCATTGGTAGATGAATTCATAAAGCTTGTTCGGGAAAGCAAGCTGTTTGTCAATGACCAGTTATCACAGAAGAAACAAGGACTTGGAGGGACTTCAAGAGGCTGCTCCATTGGTCCTGCATTAGAAGAGGACGTAGACTGTAGGCATGATATTCCAGATAGATATTTGTGTCACCTTTTCTTAAAGGCTTCCAGTCACCCCCACAGCCTCCCTTTGTAACCTGTTGTAATGCATCATCATTATCCTTAATATCTAAAGGTTTTCCTTGCTGCAGCTTAGAGCTACTCATGATTTATCTGTGGTGGACAT